TCCCCCTGCTTGTGTTCCCTCTCTCACTGTGTCTTTCTCTGTCAAATAAATAAATAAAATCTTTAAAAAAAAATTAAGGGGCTATTTAATGTTTAACAGAGATGTTTTTTTGTTTTTGTTGCCTACTCTGTGCCAAAGATAGAATAGGCTCTGAGAAATCAGAAATGAGACTCAGTATTTCCCTCCACTCAGTATCTACATGTATAAGGACAAAATAAAATGTCCTGTCAAAGATCTAGGGAAATCCATACCTTCAGATCACAGGATATTTTAATCAAATAATATGAAACTAGCCTATTAATAATATCTGAAGTCTATTTTGAACTTTCTATACACATTCATCACATATATGGCTTCCACTATACTGTTTAATCCTTGCAACTAGAATGAAGGAGAAAGAAGACAGTTTAAGGAAAATGTAGGAGCAGGGAAAAAAGAGAGACATGCCCTAAACTATAATCGGCTGACCCTTCTATGATCCCTATCTTGATCTCAGCTGCGCTCCTACGTTCTATTACTATAGTCTAGCTGGTGGAAGGGGTACTCATTACTCCCCGTTGAGGTCTACTGGAAACCTGCCAAGTGACCTGGCAGGTGAAATGACAGACTGGGTTGGTAGGAGGGAATAACGGCTAGATGACCTGTGTCTGGAGTCTGGATGTGAGGATTCAAATCTGAATTCATACCCATTTTACCTCATGACTTAATACAAGTTATATTTAAATGCTGTGCTCCCTTATTCATCTGTAAAATGACGATGATGTGCAGTCCTCTTCCTTAGAGGGTGGTGGTTATGCCGATGAAATGAAACAAGCTACACAGAACACTTAGCTCAGAGCCTGCCATGTAGGAAGCCAATGAAGTTAATGATATCATGCTTAAGGTCTTCATCATCCTCATCACTTCATGATTTTGGAGGGCTCAGTGACAGTTCAGAGACCGGTTTCCGCCACGGTAGAGCTAGAACCAGTGTGGGAGGAAAGCAGAACTCTGAATGAGGGTTCTTAGACTCTCACTAGAACCAAGAACATAAACTTCGCAGTGCTTGGAGGGAAAACTTTGCATGTTGGTACCCTGCCATCTGTCTAACCCAAATGTCCTGCTTGCCTGACAATAAGGAAACAATGCTCCCCCAGCCCCTCCTCCATCCGCTGTCGCCCATGGCACTCACTGGTTGCACTGTGACTTTGCATGAGCAAGGAGGAAGGGGGCTGCCCCTCCTGCCTGGTGAGCAACAATGGCTGAGGCTATGTACCAAGGAATGGCAGACAGACTCAGGCCAGGCCTCTTGGTGGAGGTTACTACTCTGGGAGGAGACACAGGTATGAAGCCCACTAGACAGGGAGTGGCAGCCTGAAAGGCTGGAGACACAGGCTGATAATGGAATTGTGGCCTGGAGATGTGGATGCAGAGCTCATAATTAGCTCAACTAGTCCATGAACTCCACTCCCCGAAGACTTCACAATCTTGGAGAACCATAGGAGGAAAAAGTGTCCTTGGTCCAGCTCAATGACTTCGGAGTGCCCCCTCTTCGCAGAGGGGAGTTCACTTGGCCTCTCTAGGCACATATCCACAAGGGAGGCTCTTTCTGTAAAGATTATTTCCACTTAAAAATTCTATTGCAATTTTGATTTATTGAAATAGCATTGATGATGAAATAATATCAGGAATATTGGCATCCTTATTAACATTTCCCACGCTAGAACCTGAAAAGACCTCCCTATTTGTACATTTATATGTCTGCAGGGAGAACTTCATACTTTTCTTAATATAAGTACTTATATTCCTTATGGAGTTTATTCCTTGGTAATTTTTTTTCTTTGCTAATTTGAGTGACATCATTGGCTTCATTTGTTGCTAATTGATTTCTATTGCCATATTAGAAAACAATTAAATTGTATATTTCCCTTATCTAGCACTCTTCTTTATTCTGTTTCTAGTTGTTTTTGAGTAGAATTATTTTATCTGAAATCACTCGTTATTGTTAAGAGTAAACACATTGCAGCTATAAAGTGTTTCAAATCGTGCCTGACACAATCAGTCAATAAACCTTTTGGTCAAATCAAGCTATCAGTATTTATATAATGCTAACAATGTGTCCTCTGTATTCAAAGATAAAGCAATCTTGGTCTTTCATACTCAATTGACTGGGTTCTCTTCTTCCCTGGTAACCACACTCCTTCCATAACACAGGGAGCCATATGATACAGATGGTTGAGAAGGTACTTGGTCCTTGCCTAAAAGATGCCAAGTGAGGGTTACACCCAGAATGCTGCCCACAGCCCCACCTAACCCTATGAGTTCCCCATTCAACCACACCCAATCCTGCCTGTCCTGACTCTTCAGAATGCTTTGATCCTTGGAGGCAGTAGAGTGTAGTATTAAAAAGCCTGGGTTCTGGGGGCTCAGTCGGTTAAGTGCCTGCCTTCGGCTCGGGTCATGATCCCAGGGTCCTGGAATTGAGTCCCAAATCAGGCTCCCTGCTCAGTGGGGAGACTGCATTTCCTTCTGCCTGCCTGCCCCTCTCTCTCTCACACAAATAAAATCTTAAAAAAAAAAAAAGTCTGGGTTCTGGATTCAGACATAGTTCCACCACATACTATGTAATTCTGGGCAATTATTTGAGCTCATTTGTGAATCTATTTCACCATGTGTATTATGTTGATTTAAGTATCTGCCTCATATAATTTTGTGCTGATCAAATAAGTTAATACATGGATGTCAAAACAGTGAATGACACAGAATAAAAGCTCATTAAATGTTAAATATTTTTTTAACCTTTTCTCTTTACATAAAACCAAACTAGCCCCCTTCTCTTCAAATCATCTCTGAATCAAACCTTCATCCTCTAAACTCTTCCACAGTATAAAAACTTGAGGTAGTGAAGGAAGTGTTTCTGATCCCACAGAAATGATGTGATCCCTGCCCCCACCCCAGCCGCTCCAGTAGCATCTCCTATATGCATCTGATGGTACTGAATGACTTTGATTTATGGCCAATGTTGATAATATATCTGCCTTAAACACAAAAACTTATTTCTTCTTCTTTGTCTATTTTTAACACCATACAGATTTTTAAAAATATATTAGCCTTAAAATATATTTTATAATTGAGGAAAATAACAAAAAAGCAACTATTAGTAAATTGAATCCAGCAATGTATAAAAGGAATTTCACACCACGACTGGAAATGTATTCCAGATGTGCAAGGCTGGTCCATTATCTGAAAATCACTGTGATCCATCATATCAGCAGGCTATGATCATATCAATTGATGCAGAAAAGGCATTTGACAAAACCCAAAACCTATATTCATGATTTTTTTTTCAACTCTGCAAACTAGGAAGAGGGGAACTTAACTTGATGAAAAGCACCTCAAGAAAACCCATGGTTAACATCTTAGCAATAAAAAAAGGACACAGCTTCACACAACAACTTGGATGTATCTCAAGGGGATTATGCTGAGTGAAAAAAAAGTCTGTCTCCAGAAGGTTACATACTATATGGTTTCTTTACATAACATTCTTGAAAAAAACCAAAATTATACAGATGGAGAACATATTGGTAGTTGTTAGGGCTAGTGATGGAGACGTTTGGGTCTGAATACCAAGTAACTAAAGAGGTTTTTTTTTTACTTTTTATTTATTTGAGAGACAAAGAGTTAGCAAGAGAGAGCATGAGCAGGGGGAGGGGCAGAGGGAGAAGCAGACTCCCCACTGAGCAAGGAGCCTGATGTGGGATGTGGGCTAGATCCCAGGACCCTGGGATCATGACCTGGGCTGAAGGCAGATGCTTAACCGACTGAGCCACCCAGGTGCCCAAGAGTTCTTTTGTGTGATGGAACAGTTCTGTATTCTGATTATGGTAGTAGGTCCATTCATCTACACATGTTCAAACTGCAAAGAAACACACAGACACACACACACACAGACACACACACACACATGCATCTCAAACTGGCAAAATTTAAGTAAGCTCTTGGATTTCCACTGGGGAAAACTGGGTGATGGATACATGGAATTTCCCCATACATATTTTTTCACAGGTTACTGAGAATCTATAATTATTTCATAAAAAAAAAAAAAATTAAACACACATACACACAGCAAATTCAGGACCAGAAGGCTTAAGTGACTTTTCTAAAGTCACAGAGGTAGAGTTGGAAAGTAAAAACCATCAGGTGTCTCGACTCCCAGTCCAGTTTTCTTCCCATTCCACCAAGGAAGCCCCGTGACCTTAAGATAACAGGCACAGAAACAGTATTTTTCTGCATATATCTTGAGCACATTGCTACTGATGTGAATGGTAGAAAGTTCTGATTGGATAGATTTATAAGCATAGCAGGAGACAGGCACTGATATAAGCATCTACCTCAAAAGCTAGAATTAAATTAAACCCAAATAGAATAGAAGGGACTAAAACCAAAAATTAAAGAATCAGAAGGCAGAATAAAGTTGGTTCTTTGAAAAAATTAATATATCTAAATCCCTAACAGGGTGAAGAAAAAGGAAGAGAACATATATATTACCAATATCAGAAATGAAAAGGGGATATAATGACAGTTTTCAGACATTAAAAGGGAATTACAGGATATTATGAATAAAATTTATGCCAACACATTTGAAAAGTTATGGAATGGACAGATACAATTTAGCAAAACTAACAAGAACAAATAAAAAAAACCTGAATAATCTTCTATTTATATTTGGTGTCATTCACCAGTGACACTATCTTTCAAAAGCTTTCTGTGAAGAAAACCGGTAAGACAGATTGACTGGTGAGTTGTTCCAAACATATAAGGACTAAACTGGTTCAAATTTTATAGAAAGTCTTTCAGAACAGTTTCCAACTCTTTTTATGGGGCAATATAAACTTGACACAAAACACAGACAAGTACATGACAAGAAATTACAAGACAAACCTCTAATTAACAGAGAAATAATTTTTTTTAAGTCATATACTGAATCTAGCAAAATGAGAAGGCTAATTAGCCAATATATACCACGTCCAAGTGTGGTTTATTCCAGGAAGACATGTTGTTTTACCATCTGAAAATCAAGGAATGTAGTAATTCACATTAACAAACTGAAGGGTTTTTTTAAAGACCATAATACATGCAGAGAAGGCACTGGATAAAATATTCACTCACAATTAAAAAAAAAAACAAAAACTTGGCAAACTGGGAATAAAACAGTTCTCTTCGTTTTTAAAAGTAATCTATGAAAAACTTACAGCTATTATTATACTTATGAAATATTGAACATTTTCCCCTAAGATTAGGAACAGAGCAATGATGTTCATTTTCATCATTTCTATTCATCACTGTAAAGCAATGAGGCAAAAAAAAAAAAAAAAGATAAAGTTTAGAAATCAAGTAAGACTTCCTTTTGTTATTGACAGGATTGTACACAGAAAATCCAAAATAATCCACAAACTATTTGAATAATTCAAGTAATAATAATTTAATTTATAAATGTCACTGGATAAAAAGATCAATGTACAAAAAGAAATTGCAATTCATGCTAGCTAAAAAATTAAACAGGAAATAAATAAAAATATTTACAAAGCAAAACATACCACATACCTAGAAATAAATTAAACAAAGATATTCAAGTCCTCTACAATTAAACTACAAAACACTGTTGAGAGAAATTAAAGACAACCTAGGTAAATGGATGATTATGTTTCATTGGAAGACTCAATCTTGTAAAGATGTCAATTTCATTCAGGTAATGGCATCGTCAATGCAATTCCAAGCACACTCTCAGCATATTTGTGAAAATTGGTAAGGATGTTCTAAAAATAATATAGAAACAAATGAGGAATAGAGAAGGCAGGACAATCTTAAAGAATAAAAATGCAATCTAAAGATATGTTAACAGATGGCATCTAACCTTTCTGAAAGGATTTCTAGAACTACTCAGCCCCTGCTGAGCTACCAGACTTCAGTTCCCTCCTGTTGTAAGACCCTAGTAAGCACAACATGCCAGCTGACAATATTACCCGACTTGCCCCCTGCTGCCTCCTCCCCTCTCCGCACACATCACACTCTGATTCAGTTGGTGCAAACTCTACTCTGGTTTCTGGATGAGCACAGGAGCCAGTCCTAAACAAATCAGAGTATTACATTCCTTTGGCCACAGTGATTAGATAACTATTGGCAAGTGAGCCAATCAGATTCTATTATAATGATCATATTGTGTCAACGTCTAGTGCGTTGGGGTCCCTGGGTAAGGGTCTACGAAATCACCAGGACACAGGGGATGCAGAGCAAAGGCAGCACTTGCAACTGCATACTGCCGTTTATTACTCACATAGCTATATACTCGCAGTGATCAGATAAACATAACAATGTATACTTAAAGTATCAACCCAACATCCATGAAGTAAGATACACGAAATTCAGTAAGAACAAAATACATCCTGTTTATGCTTGCAGAATAAAGAATTCTCTTAGCCATCCTTCCTTTGGAGACAACATGTTCTTTGTCTTTAGAAAGAACACTTCTGATTAGAAAGACACACTTTAAGCGAGGCAAGAGCCACTTCCTGCTGATCCAGGCATTTAGGACTTGCAACATGAGATAAGGGGAAGAGAACATTTTCTCCTCCTGGCCTAGGCCTGCCTGGCCGACCTTAACCTCACTGCAGTCCTCAAATGACCCTGGCCTGCAAGGGGCCTACAAGCCTACACCATCTCAATATTGGAGTTGTTCAAAAAGACTATCGCTCTTTTCTCCCTGAGACTTCCACCTAGAAAGCAAGCAGCCTGGATCTTCTGGGAACTACGGTAGAAATAGCCTGCCAGGAAGAATAGCTAAATGTAAGTAAGAAGATGCACAGCCAAGATACGGACACTGAATTCATCCAGATAACCATCCAGATAACAGCTTTTTAGCCCCAGGATCCCAGCCATCCCCAAAGGACTTCTTCAATAATCAAACCAATAAATTCCCTTTATAGCTTATACATATGAGAAGAGTGAAAAGACAAGCCAGACACGGGGAAAAGTTATCTGCAATATATATATATATATATATATATATATATATATATATATATATATATATATATATATATATATAAAATCTACGTAAGTTATGAATATATGATATATAACACATGGTTTTACATATGTGTATGTAACGAGACATAGAGATACACATACATACAATAGAAGACAAGTAACTAGAAGGAAACCCTTCAAATAAAAAAGGAACCAAAAATGGGTGAAATGCTTCAATAGGGTGCCCTCATAAAAGATATCCAAATAGCCAACAAGCACATAAAAAAGCATTTACCATCACTACATATCAGGTAACTGCAAACTAAAACTAAAGCAGGATATTACCATGTCCTCTGCTGGATGCCTAAGATTAGAAAGGGCTGGCCAACTAGGTGGAACAATTCGAATTTGCATGCATTGCTTTTAGGATGATAGGTGAAATCCACCTTTTTGAAAAACTGGAATACCTATTAAAACTAAAGCTAAAGTCTACCTATGAGTCAGTGATCTCATTCCTACAAACAAAACATATACCAAGAGAAATAAGTGTAAGTCAGTAAAAAGAGTGATTAAAAGGCAAACTAGACATCATGCTGAGAAAAGAAGCCAAACATATAATTGTACATATTGTATTTAAGCACTTACATAAAGATCAAGATCAAGAAGAAGCAAACCTAATACACTGAATAAAAGTCAAACTGTGGTTTCCTCTGTGGAGCAATTATTGAGAAGGCAGATAAATAAACTTTCTGGAATCCTGGGAATGTTCTGTTTACCGGGGTATGTACATAAGTGAAATTTCATCAAGCTATACACTTAAGATTAGCACATGTCGTGCACAGTAGCGTGTATATGCTTTACTAAAACAGCAGAAAATGAGGTCTACTTTCAGAAATAAACGGGAAATATAATAGAAGGGAAAAGTGTAGCTAGATGTACCTGAAGAAGCACAAACCAAAGAACCTTCATCTTTCCCAAATAAAAAAGCAGAAAAATCTGAAGGTGTCAAATATAAATCTTCCTCCACTAAAATAGGATGATTCCCTGTCTGATGCTTACCTCGCTTATACCTAATTTTCCTTACTGTCCACAGCCCTTCTTGCTGGAGATGCCAGTGGATTTGCACGGATGTCTTTCCCCTTGAGCAAAGTGACGTGACGGGATTGCACTACACAAATAACAACCCTGCTCCAAAATGGGGCCACCTCTATAGAGCCAGTTGATGTGCCAGAGGGACTGTCAGATCAGCAAAAGGACAATGCTGGAACGTGCCAGAAAACCTAAGAAGCTGTGTATGACTGTGATGGAGGAACTTATGGAAAGGTCTATGGAGCTGCTGCCTCTGACTTTACTGAAGTAGAAGCATTTAATGTTCCGTTTCAAGCTAGTGTTGATTGGTGGGTCCGATCATCAGGAAAATGAGCCGGACACTGAAGCTCACCAGGCCCCTATGTATCTGTCTCCATCCTGTGGCCCCACTAAACAAAGAATAATAGCTTCTTCCCGCTGCCTTCCAATTCTCATGCAAACTCTGTTTCAGACAATTCTAACCTGGGACTGGATAAGGAAATGATTCTGAGAAATGGAGTCCCAACCATGTCCAAATTAACACACACAAGCCAGCTCAACCAACTTTACTTCTAGCTTTCTTGTCACAAGGTCCCTTTTTAAACTCAAAACACTGGGTCCAATTCCTAGCCATGAGCAAGGACAGAGAAAATACAAAAACAACGTATTAGATGCGACTCTTCTTTTGAGAACTTGCCCTTATTAATTTCTGTTGAAATGGATTATTAGACAGAAAAGCTTTTAATAATAAAAACTGATAACCTCAAAAACTTTAGGTTCTTTTAGTTAAAAAAAGAAAAAAAAAGGGAAAAAAAATTGGGTAGGCAATTTCCAGTATCTGCCATACTAGAAATGACCAATTACAGGAAAAAAATTACAAAAGAAATTACAAATAGCAAAGTGTTGATACCATAACAGGTGTGATACTGCACACCTGGAGAATGGTGAGTATTAATTAGATACTAATTAAAAAAAAAAAAAAAAAGACCACTCCTGCCTGCATTTGAAAAACACCTTGAATCCCCTATGGGTCCAAAAGATTTTGTAACATAAAGAACATTTACATCTTGGCCGAAATAAAAGTACCTATAATAAAATGTGGTTAGAGCTGAAAAAGTATTAGAGGAAAATTCATCACCTTAAATATTCGTATCAGAAAACAGAAACCGATTATCAATGAGCCAGCAGTCCACTTTACAAGTGAGGCCCTGATCCGTGCTTCTCGTGTGAATTTTCTTGCACGCCGGAAGTGACATTCATGAAGGCATTCCCACAAGGTGTACAGACACAGGTTTCTCTCAGCTGTGAGTTCTCAAGTCGTCAAACAGATACGCAACACTTTCTTGCCTTCTTATATTCATGGCGCATCTCCACAACGTTCCAGATATGCTGTGAGGTGAAAACGCCTTGCAGACGTTCCCACATTTCACACCATTTATACATTTTCCCTAGTGTGAGTTTTCACATGTCTTCGAAAGTAGGCAGGACACACAAAGGCTTTTCCACATTCCTTACATTCATATGGTTTCTCTCCAGTGTGGCTTCTTACATGTCTTCGAAAGGATGAGGGACAACTGAAGGCTTTCCCACATTCCAGACATTCGAAGGGTTTCTCGCCAGTGTGCATCCTTGCATGGACAGTAAGGTATGAAGAATGGCGAAAGGCTTTCCCACATTCCTTACATTCATAGGGTTTCTCCCCAGTATGTGTTCTCATGTGGATCCTCAGAGCTGAGGGATAAATAAAGGCTTTGCCACATTTCTTACATTCGTAAGGTTTCTCTCCAGTGTGAGTTCTTATATGTACTATAAGGTGGGAGGAACTAATAAAGGCTTTCCCACATTCTTTACATTCATAAGGCTTCTCTCCAGTGTGAGTTCTTAAGTGTTCAGTGAGGGATGAGGAACGGCTAAAGGCCTTCCCACATTCCTTACATTCATATTGTATCTTTCCAGTGTGATCTCTCACGTGTGCTCTGAAGGATGAGGGACAACTAAAGGCTTTTCCACATTCCTTACATTCATAGGGTTTCTCTCTACTTTGATTTTTCACGTGCGTATTAAGGGAAGTGGGAAGATAGAAGGCTTTTCCACATTCCAGGCATTCATAGGGTTTCTCTCCAGTGTGTTTTCTCATATGGATACTTAAGGAGGAGGGACAATTGTAGGCTTTCCCACATTCCTTACATTTATAGGGTTTCTCTCCTGTGTGTGTTCTGACGTGTACAGTGAGTTTTGAGGACTCGCTGAAGGCCTTCCCACACTCTTTACATTCGTAAGGCTTCTCTCCAGTATGAATTCTTATATGTATTATAAGGTGAGAGGAAGAACTAAAGGCCTTCCCACATTCCTTACATTCATATGGCTTATCTCCACTGTGAATTCTTTTGTGTTTGGAGAGTGAGGAAGAACAGCTAAACGCCTTCCCACATTCCCTACATTCATAAGGCTTATCTCCACTGTGAATCCTTTTGTGTTCTGTCAGGGATGAAGAACAGCTAAAGGTTTTTCCACATTCCTTACATTCATAGCTCATCTTTCCAGTGTGAATCTTCATATGTGCCCTAAAGAAGGAAGAACAACCGAAGGTTTTTGTACATTCTTTACATTCGTAAGGTTTCCCTTCAGTGGGATTTTTCACATGCTTCTTAAAACAAGCAAGAAAATGGAAAGCTTTCCCACATTCTTTACATTGATAGGGTTTGCTTCCAGTGTGAGACCTGATGTGATTCTTAAGGGATAAATGATCCGTGAAGGCCTTCTTACACTCATGGCATTCATAGGACTTCACTTCAGTAGTTCTCTTGAGTATATTAAGATGTGAAATTTGGCTGCAGTCTTGTCCACACTGATTTTCTTCATTACATTCATAGATGGTCTCCACACCTGGACTTCTTTTAAAAATAAAAGCACATTATTAGTAATAAATATACTTTTATCATTTTCAGTGACTACATTTTCTGCCCTGTCAAGTTACAAGTTCAAAGTCCTCACAGAAGGGTCTACAATAGCCAATATTATCACTGAGGTTTTTTTGACATACAATTTTTCTGGTAATTGCTTATAATTGAACTATGTGTCAAACGGTGAAGATCTCAATGTCATTTTTGGGGAAAAAAATCTTAGAAAAATTCTTTACGAAATCACAATTTTTGACCAAGTTCTAGGTACACGTTTTTTAAGTTTTATGACATTTTAAGATCCTCTCCAGAGGCATGACTTTTTCTTTTTTGAATGGCACTCACCTCAAATGTCTCTCATGGTTTTTGTTCTGATAACAAATACCATGGTATTCCCAGTTTTTGTGTAAAATGGATGAGCAAGAATCATTCCTTTTGAACCTTACTATTTTCTGTTCACCGGATATTCTTTGTCCATAAATATCTTGTGGAGCTACTAATTCATTAGTTTTAAGTTGAATCTCAAAACCTGAAACAAAAAAGCAAAGGCACCTATAAGGAAAAGGACTTCTGGCAACGTAGCTGTTTCAGGACTTCAGTAATATACACAAGGGTCAAAATTGTAAGCAAGAAATAATTCCATGAAGACTGAGACTTATAGTAACACAAATAAGGTATTATTAGGAGAACAAAGGGCACCTGGCTGGCTCAGTCAGAAGAGCATGCAACACTTGATCTTGGGGTCATGAGTTTGAGCCCTGAGCGGGTTGTAGAGATTGCTTAAATAAAAGTTAAAAAGGAAAACAAAACAAAAAGGAACCAGTTCCTTCCTAAAATGCACATGACCAAATACTAACTTACAAGAAGAAATATGGACTGTCTTTCCCAAGAACAAGGAAAGTGTGAGAATACTGATAAAAAGTCAAAATAGTAATCTAAGGTATCTAGAAGATCACACCCCTCAAACAAAGCAAAGTTTTGTTTTGCTTTTATTTGATTTTTACAAACGTAATATCCCCCAACCAGGACAGTTTCTCCCAGGGATTCTTGCCTTCCTGGTGTTCCCCCTGGATAGGTCCTCTTTCCACTGTCTCCAGGTCCTCCTCTTGTTTCCACCGAGAGATCAGATATGGTGTGTGCAATGGATACCCTGTTAATGCAGAAAGGCTTATCATGAGGGAAAACAATGAGGAACCATAAACATTTCCATGAGACAGGGTCAAAATTTTGCTCTTCTGATACTGTAATTATGGGCAAGAGAAAATTGAATTTCTACAAAATGTTTGTCAAAAGTTTTTTTAAAGCAGGAGCAGGATGGGGGAGTAGACAATGACACAGCCTCTGATTTCTAGAACTGATGTGATATTCATTATCTAAACTTCAATATTAGAAGCTGGTCTGATAGAGCCAGGATATTTTGTTCTCCTATTGCACATTAATAATCTCACAGAATACCAATCTTTTTTTTTTTGTCTTTTTTTTTATTCTTATGTTAATCCCCATACATTACATCATTAGTTTCAGATGTAGTGTTCCATGATTCATTGTTTGTGCATAACACCCAGTGCTCCATGCAGAATGTGCCCTCCTCAATACCCATCACCAGGCTAACCCATCCTCCCACCCTCCTCCCCTCTAGAACCCTCAGTTTGTTTTTCAGAGTCCCATCATCTCTCATGGTTCGTCTACCCCTCCGAATGCCCCCGCTTCATTCTTCCCCTCCTGCTACCTTCTTCTTCTTCTTCTTCTTCTTTTTTTTTTCAGAATACCAATCTTAAACAAGATTACTCAGACCATGATAAAATTAAACAAAATAAGGCCATTACATAATTTAATCTAAGGATGACCCCCCCCCCAAAAAAGTCACTGTGCCACCCATAAAATACTCAATAATAAAATTTCTACCTCTTTTTGTCAGCATCCAATCTAAAGTGACCACCTGGACTGGGTTGAACAGTGTCCCTTGAAAATATATGTCCAAACAGATCAATGAAACAGAATAGAGAGCCCAGAAATAGACCTACATAAACATAGTCAGCTGATCTTTGACAAAGGATCAAAGGCAATCCACAAAGAAGACAGTCTTTTCAACAGAGACTGAAACAACTAGCCATCAACATGCAAGAAAATTAATCTAGACACAGACTTTTACACTCTTCACAAAAATCAACCCAAAGTGGATCACATGGATCAAAGACCTAAATGTAAAATGCAAAACTATGAAATTCCTCAAGGGAAACATCATATGAAGAGATAGTCCCATATGTCATCAGGAAAATGCAAATTAAAACAATGAGAAACCGCCACACACCTATGAGAACAGCTAAAATCCATAACACTGACACCAACAAATGCTGGCAAGGCTGTAGAACAGGAACTCTCATTCATTGCTGGGGGGAATGCGAAATGGTACAGCACTTTGGAAGACAGTTTGGCAGCTTCTTACAAAACTAATCTTACTATATGATCAGGCAATCACACTCCTTGGAATTTACCCAGAGAAGCTGAAAACATGTCCACACAAAAACCTGCACATGCATGTTTTACTGCAGCTTTATTCACAACTGCCCAAACTTAGAAACAATTAAGATGTCCTTCAGAGGGTGAATGGATGAATAAAACTGCGGTACACCCAGACAATGAAATATTATTCTGAATTAAAAAGAAATGAATTATCAAGCCACGTAAAGACATGAAAGAAGCATAAATGCATATTACTAAGTGAAAGAAACCACTGAAAAATCTATATACCGTATGATTCCAACTATATGACATTCTAGAAAAGCCAAAACTATGGGGACAATAAAAAGATCAGTGGTTGCCACAGGTTAGCGAGGAAGGAGATGAACTGATGAGGCAAAGAGGATTTTTAGGGCAGTGAAATTACTCTAAATGATACTATAATGATGTATACCACTACATATTTGTCCAAACCACACAATGTATTCTGTGTTGAATGACTTCACCAAGAGTGAATCCTAATGTATAAACTATGGACTCAGGGTGATGATGATGTGTCGATTCAGGTTCATCAATTGTAACAAATGTGCCACTCTGGTAGGAGATGTTGATAGTGGAAGCGGCTGTACCCATATGGGAGCAGGGCACACAGAAGTCTCTGTATCTACTACTCACATCTGCTGTGAACCTACAACTGCTCTAAAAAAAAGTAAGTGTATCAAAACAAAATGTCATGTCCACTTGAAAGCTCAGAATGTTACTTTATTTGGAAATAGGGTCTTTGTAGCTATAATCAAGTAAAGATGGAGTTATACTGGATTAGGGTGGGTCTTAAATCCATTGATTAGTGTCCCTATAGGGAGGGGCATAGAGACAAAGGGGAAAAGGCCATGTGAGGACAAAGGCAAAGATTAGAATGATCTAGCTGCATGGGGCACCTGGCTGGCTCAGCCGGTAGAGCATGCGACTCTTGATCTCGGGCTTGTGGGTTCTAGCCCCACATTGGGGGTGTAGAGATCACCTAAAAATAAAATCTTTAAAAAAATAGAAAAGAATGATATCACTGCAAACCAAGAAATGCCAAGTATTGCTGGCAACCACAGAGGCTAGGAAAAGACAAGGAGAGATTTCTCCCATAGAGCCTTCAGAAGGAGCATGGTCCTACTGACACCTTGTTTGTACTTCCAGTCTCCAGAAATGTGAAAAAATAAGTTTCTGCTGTTTTTATCCACAGTTTGTGGTACTTTGTTATGAAAGGCCTAGGAAAGGGGTGCCTGGGTGGCTCAGTCGTTAAGCGTCTGCCTTGGGCTCAGGTCATGATCCCAGGGTCCTGGGATCGAGCCCCACATCAGGCTCTCTGTTCAGCGGGAAGCCTGCTTCTCCCTCTCCCACTGCCCCCTGCTTGTGTTCCCTCTCTCACTGTGTCTCTCTCTGTCAAATAAATAAATAAAATCTTAAAAAAAAAAAAAAAAAAGGCCCAGGAAACCAATACAGCCTACTTCCACAGACCCATCCCCAAATCACTCACCCAAAGTACAAACTCTATAATATGTATGTTTTAACACCTTCTTTCTGAGACACACCACAGTTCCCCATGTCATACGTTCTCCCTTCCTGCACTGAGTAATAACCCCCCTCTTGTTTACATGTATGTTTCTGAGTAAAGACCACTGACATCATTAAAATTCTCATAAGGACCCAAACCATAAACCTCCCTAAGGCCCAAAGTGACCCCTGAAGTCTATGCCAGCACTTTCAATACTTAATAAGCCTCAAGGCTTTTAACCACAAGAAAAAGAAAAAGGCAGTTCACTACACAGATGTTTATTTTCATGGTGAAGCCACTAGACTTAAAGTTCCTTGGGGTCTGTGACCATGTCGGTCTTATTTACCAATTCATTCCTATTCCTCAGCCTAAATCCTAGGACAAGGTCAATTAGTAAGATTGTTTTCTAAACAACTAAATGAAGGAACGTTGCCATTCTTACCTAGGGAGGCCAGGTTCTGAAAGTTTTCCAGCATCACATCTCTGTAGAGGCTCCTCTGAGCAAAATCTAGCAGAGCCCACTCCTCCTGGGTGAAGTCCACGGCCACATCCTCAAAGACCACAGAGTCCTAAAACATCCCACATATATTCTTTTCAGAAAGGTGCCCACTCTCCCCACGTGTGCAGGAAGATTGATGAGGCTGCTAATACTGGGAAACTGAGAATCAATTCACAGGAAGTTCTGAAGATTTTATGGTCTCCCAACATCTACCCTAGAATTCAGACACCAGATCTTTCTCTTTATACCCATTACATCCTTCCTAACTGACCCCATCCAGTCTATGTATCTAACCACACTTCTAAAACACCAAATTTATCTCTTGCACAGTTTGATGGTGACCATTTCCAATCTTATGATCCAGGACAGTCCAGAGCCTACAAGAAATGACAGAAATGCTCTAGAGATGAAATAATTTCCACACGGACACCAGCAATTCCTTGTTACACAAAAATTTCACCTGCTTCCTTCTTTCCCACCACAGCACTCAGCACAACATGAAAGACTGGGTCAAATCCAAGTGAGGTTTAAATGCATAAAAACACACTGAGGAACAGGGAGCTTTTCTTTCTTTCTTTCTTTCTTTCTCTATCTATCTATCTATCTCTCTATCTATCTTCCCACAAACCTGAGGCCCAGGAGCTTGCAGAAATAGCACTTTCACCTCAGGCCCACAGCTGGCCATATTGTATTCTAGGCCAGGGGTCAGCAAACTGTAGCACATGGGCTGAATCCAGCCTACTATTTGCTTACGTAAAGTTTTATTGGAACACAATAAAATATTTGTTTATGTACTGTCTGTGGCTGCTTTCAAACTAAATTGGTGGTTTAATTGCAATAGAAACTCTTTAGCCTTCAACGCCTAAGACACTTACAGTGTGGCCCAATAGAAAAATAGATCACTAACAACTGCTCTAAACAATTAGGAGGTCAAGGACCTGGTGGAATGGAAAATTCTTTTGGAGAATAATTAGCTCCTACTTACCTGTGTCATATTTTTCTGTAACTCTGCAACTTTTCTTTCTTCTTCCATGTTCCCTTCATGAAGAAAGTCAAGAGTACTGAGAAGTTAGAGCTGGGGCAGGAGAAAGAAAACACGAGAATCCAGGTCTCCCCACAATTTCCACAACTCATGAGCCTGGATGTTGCAGCATATCCGTTATGAGGGATCACTCCCCTCAAAACACACACACACACACACACACACACGTATAAAGCATACCCCCAAGACACCCAACCAAATACACACTGATCTTGTAAGGAGATGGAGTAATCTTATCTCCTCTAGAGCTAAAAAAACATTGCTGGGGTCCTTGCTAATTAAAAAAAAAAGGTTAAAAAAGGTTAAGAGTCCCATGTTCTAAGTTAACTGAAATCTAAAAAAGTTTAGCTGTCAGTTTTCCCATGATAATGAAATACAAAAAACAGCAGACAATGCCTGCAACCATAACTTTGACACTGTGTCAAATCCAAAAAAAGCATTTATAGATGCAACTTCTGGGGGCTCCACTCCCAGTATTTCTTACTTCTGCACCACTGGCAGCTAACAGGAATTACTGCTCAGCCCCTGACCACTGAACCCTCCCCTCCATGGTCTGCAGGGCCTCTGAAACTTGATTTTTGCAAAAAAGCATCAACAGATATCAACAGTGAATTCCACACATAGGAGGTAGAGAAGACTGCCATGCTGTGACTCTCATCCTAAATTGTGCCTACACAGTACAGAAGAGCAGAACAAGAATACCTGAAGTGAAGTTAGCAACATGTCATCTCCGATAGTAATATCTGCAGCTCTATTACATAAATTTTTTTTTCTTTTTTTTTTTATTTGCGAGAGAGAGAATGAGAGGACGAGATGGAGGAGGGTCAGAGGGAGAAGCAGACTCCCTGCTGAGCAGGGAGCCCGATGTGGGACTTGATCCCAGGACTCCAGGATCATGACCTGAGCCGAAGGCAGTCGCTTAACCAACTGAGCCACCCAGGCGCCCTCTATTACATAAATTTAAAATAATGAAAACACAAGTTTTTTCCATGCAGTGGATCAAGTAGTATATTTTAAAACTGAAAAAATCACAACATTCTTTACTAAATTAATAACGTGCCATTTAAGCAACCATGATGTGAGAATGATCTTGCAAAGAGCTTTTCTTTCATAGAAGCTCTGCAAATCAGGTATTATTACAACCAGCTTATAGTTGAGAAATCTGAGAATCAATTAACCATACACTCAATGTTACCCAGTCAGAAAGCTGCTGAGGTGTATGTAACACAGGGTGTATTACACAGACAGATGTATGAATGCAGGCCTGTTTGTCTTCAAAGCCTAAACTCCCAATGAGTATATTTCTGAACATATACCTTACAATTTAGTTGTTAGTGAGGCCCTTATCACTAACATTACCAGAGTCTAGCCTAGAACCCTGCTGTGCACTACGGAAAGTAGGCAAATGAAGTATTCTATTTAAATGTTTTATCTTGGGGCGCCTGGGTGGCTCAGCTAGTTAAGTGTCTGGCTCTTGATTTCAGCTCAGGTCATGATCTCAGGGTCGAGAGATCAAGCCCTGCATCAGGCTCTGTGCTCTGTACAAAGTCTGTTTGTCTCTCTCCCTGTGCTCCTCTCTGGGGGGGGGGGGGGGGGGGGGGAGGAGAAATAAATAAATAAATAAATAAATAAATAAATAAATAAATGGATGAATGAATGAATGAATGAATCCTCTTAAAAATAAATAAATAAATGTTTTATCTTTGAGCTCCTTTAGACTAAGCCCCCCCCCCCCTTTTAAAGAGTTTATTTATTTATTTGACAGAGAGAGCATGGTGAGAGAGGGAACACAAGCAGGGGGAGTGGGAGAGGGAGAAGCAGACTCCCCGCGGAGCAGGGAGCCCCATGCGGGGCTCGATCTCAGGACCCTGGGATCATGACCTGAGCCGAAGGCAGACGCCCAATGACTGAGCCACCCAGATGCCTCTAAGCCCCCTTTTTTGAGCAAGGACACTTCCCTTAAGACCCCTACCTCTTGCTCCTTCATTTCATATTTACTTAGGTAATATTTACCCCAATGCCACCACATACAGTCACAGGGGATACAGCACTGAACAAAACAGAAAAATCCTGAAGGACATGGATGTTATAATCATTTGAGGGAGGGCAGTAAATGAACAAAATGTATCAGGTGTGGTATATGATACACAATAATGCAGCACATTACAGGGATAAAGAGGCACATACACATTTATTTTTAGCCAGTTAGGACTACTTTTGTAGCCGGGAAGAAGCAGAAAATTAAAAGAAGTGTTTCAGATAACACTGGAAATCCACAGTTGGTGTGGTACATATATTTACATATTTATATGAATATCATCAACTCCCAGAGAAAATAAAATCAGTATGAGTGGGCTAACCATTAACTTAAAGGATAGAAAAGGAACAGCATAAAGGTTTAGAAAAATGAAAATAGGACAAAATTAATATTTTTAAAAAACTAATAAAAAGAATCATAAAAATGAACAATGTGTCCTTTGAAAACTAATGAAATCAACAAAGCTTTAGCAATTTTAACAGAGCATAGACAAAGAGTTATGAATGAGTCATAATCACAGATGTTGAAGGGAGAATATAACGAAAAAGTTAAGAGAATATACATGAAAATGTACATATAATGAATGAATTTCTAGAAAGAAGTACAACTTTCTGGCAATGATCTAAAATAAATACAAAACTTGATTAATCCAATCCTAAAAGAAAAAGAAAAAAAAACAGTAGTTTAAAACATGCCCACAAAGGGACGCCTGGGTGGCTCAGTCGGTTAAGCGGCTGCCTTCGGCCCAGGTCATGATCCCAGGGTCCTGGGATCGAGTCCCACATCGGGCTCCTTGCTCAGCAGGGAACCTGCTTCTCCCGCTCTCTCCCTCTCCTTGTGCTCTCTCTGTCAAACAAATAAAATCTTAAAAAAAAAAAAAAAACATGCCCACAAAGGAAATATGAATTACAAATTGTTTCACAGGCAACTTCACCAAATAAGTAAAGGATTCATAATTCCATTGTAGGGATGGAAAATACTGTTTTCCTGAGTGTTTCCAAGCCAAAAAAGTACAACTCAAAACAAAACAGGAAAGATCTCATTCACACATATGAATGCAAAATAATATAAAAGTTTTAGTACAGTGGAGAATGGAATAATGAGGGTATAATCACAAACCAAGTTCATTTCCTCCTAGGAATGAAAGGTGGTTAAAAATGAAATCCTCAATTAATATAATCATCACATTAATATTAAAAGATCATATGGCTCTTCCTCTTAAATACAAAATAGTTAACGATCTATATCAATATCCACTGCTGATCATTTAACCCATTAGAACTAGAGAATAACTTTAATTAGGAAAAAATAATTATCATCTACAACACCTACAGCAAACATCTTTTTTTTTTTTTTTAAAGGAAGCTCAGTGCCCAGTGTGGAGCCTAGCAGAGCTTGAATTCACGACCCTGTGATCAAGACCTGAGCTGAGACCAAGACATTATGACTGGGGTCACCTGGGTAGCTCAGTCGGTTAAGCGCGGTACTCTTGATTTTGGTTCTTTTTTTTTTTTTTTTTAAGATTTTATTTTATTTTATTTGAGAGAGAGTGAGCGAGAAAGAGAGCACAAGCCAGGGGGAGAGGCAGAGGGAGAAGCAGACTCTCTGCTGAGCAGGGAGCCCGACGCGGGGCTCGATCCCAGAACCCTGGGATCATGACCTGAGCCAAAAGCAGACGGTTAATCAACTGAGCCACCCAGGCGCCCCAGGTTCAGGTCTTGATCTCAGGGTTGTGAGATCCAGTCCCAGAGGTCGGGGTGGGACTCGGGGAGTTCGCTTAAGATTCTCTCTCTCCCTCCCCTCGCTCTCTCTCTCAAAAAAAAAAAAAAAAAAAGTCAGACACTTAACTGAGCCATCCAGGTGCCCCACAAGCATCCTATTTAAATGCTGAAATGATAGAATAATTCCCTCTGGGATCAGGAACAAGGCAAGGATTCAAATTATATGCTATTCTAGTACTGTCTGTCCACTGGAGTGGAGGTCCTAGCAAACACGCGAAAGAAATAAAAAAGAATGCAAGGTACAGGAATAAAAGAGAAAACGCTGAAAATGGCCCATGATCTCACTCTCGGTGTGAAATTCAATATAATCTACAGATAAATGATTAAAATTTATAGCTGCATTCGACGATGAAGGGGGTTACAGAGATACTAAGTAGTCAGTTCACATTTATGTACCTGAATATAATGTATCAAACTGATGCCCAGAGGCAAGGTAAAATTCACGGATGAAATATCTCCTGCACCAGGAGGGCAGATGGGAACGGAGTTGAGGCAAACGTCACCCCGTGCTCACCGAACACGCCGAAATCCACTGACCAGCGTACAGACGAGGTGGAGGCGCTCGTCCCCGTGACCGAATGGCAGGGATGCTTTTACTTTCCGAAAAGACAGCCAAGGATGCTTTGGAAGGCCGATGACATACGAGGGTGGTTTTCTAACTCTGGCCTGCAGCCGACTCAACCCGGCTGCTGAACGCAGCCCAGGGCTCCTGATTCAGTGAGTTTGGGACGAGCCGCGGCCGGGGGAGGCCCCCGGCGCTGGGTTCCGGCGGGGGCAGGGGGCACGGCCAGGGCGGCGGTCCTCCCAGTGCCTACCTCTCCCCCTCCCGCAGGCCGGACCTGGGGCTGGTCTGACCGCGCCGGGAAGAACGCGCCGAACTGAGGCGAAACACTAGCCCAGACGCGAGGGGAGGATCGCGGAGATATGGCCGCCAACTCGCGCACGCGCAAGAGCGCATTTCTGCTTCCGGTTTCTGATCCGCGCACAGCGTAAGGGGCGGGGCTTCGGGAGCTGAGCGTTAAGGACTAGGGGCGACCTGCCCCTGACCCCTTCATGGGCTGGGGTAAGAGGAGGTCCGCTATGGCCAGGCTGGTGTTTTGGGGCACTCTGAGACAAGAGGATGTCCATATCCCTGGGGATTGCTACAAGTTAATGAGCCCATAAGGCAGAGATGGCAGGTCTCCTAAGCACAGCTAGCAGGCTTTAGCTGTAGTCCCTCTCAGATCTGCTGTCAAGGATGGCATTCCAGCCCCCCCTCAAAGGATCTCAGATCTGCTGTCAAGGATGGCATTCCAGCCCCCCCTCAAAGGATCTCAGATCTGCTGTCAAGGATGGCATTCCAGCCCCCCCTCAAAGGATCTCAGATCTGCTGTCAAGGATGGCATTCCAGCCCCCCCTCAAAGGATCTCAGATCTGCTGTCAAGGATGGCATTCCAGCCCCCCCTCAAAGGAACATCAAGACCTCCAATTCTTGGGCCCAGCCAGCTAAAACATTACTTAAAGTAACTAAAGTCAAGGGGTGCCTGGGTGGCTCAGTCGGTTAGGTGTCTGCCTTCAGCCTGGGTCATGGTCCTGGGGTCCTGGGATTGAGCCCGGCATCGGGCTCCCTGCTCAGCAGAGTCTGCTTCTCCCCCTGCCCCTCCCCCTGCTTGTGCTCTCTCTTTCTCAAAAAAATAAATAAAAATCTTAAAAAAAAAAAAAAAGTAGGGACACCTGGGTGGCTCAGTCGGTTAAGCGGCTGCCTTCGGGCAGGTCATGATCCCACCAAGGCCCACCCACATCGGGCTCCTTGCTCAGCAGGGAGCCTGTTTCTCCCTCTCTCTCCCTCTGCTTGTGCTCTCTCTGCCAAATAAATAAAATCTTTAAAAAAAAAAAAAAGTAAAGTCAAAGAAGTTTATATCCCTGCCCTTCCCAGGAGCCCAAAGAAGGTGGCTATTTTACTGAAGGAATGTTCTAAACCACAAGATGGGTGTTGGGTTCTGCTTACCACAGTTTCTTACCAGGATGCCACCCAGAGGAAGAAAGAGCCCAAACTCCTGGGGGAGGTGAGACATGACAGAATGCAGGATCCTGGAAAAAAAGGCCTGGTCCCCTCTGCTGGAAAAGAGAAAAAAAAAGTACAGTGTCACCACTGTAAGAACTGAGATAATTTATCCTCTGCTTTGCCAGTGACTTTCCAAAAAGTACTAAAAGACAAAAAGGCAAAAGGGGAAGGCAAAAAAAGGAAGGGCTCTTTCTTGGAGGAGGAAATACACAGCATCTCTATGATTAAGGTCCTACCCCAAGAAAGCACTCCCTCTCCCCAACCCCAGGAAATGAATGGCTTGGGAGGAGGATTAACGATTATCAGCTTAACTAGTAAAATTGGCCCACTTTTGCTAAAAGATGATTCTGCCCTGGTTGTTCCTCCCAGACAGTCCCTTTTCCCATTACTGAAATGGGACCTGCTGAGCCAACCTCATGAAACAAGCTGAAAGCTTTTGCTATTGGTGGGCGCCAGCCGTTGAGAACTAGTTAACTTTCCTTTATCAGCGGAGGTGGTCAATATGCTGCAGGAACTACCAGCTGAGAAAGGCGCTGAAGGAGTTCAGGCCATCCTCGCTGACTTAGTGAAAGAAGGGACACCAATTCCTGCCATTTCACCTTTTAGTTCCTGATGCAGCCTGTGCTTAAAGCTACTAAGCATAAATGAAGCTGACCATAGACTATAGTTAAACATGATTATTCCCTTCATTAGA